ATCAGGGGAACATGAGGCTGCAACATTCTTTATGCCACTGGAAATGAGCTTGTTCTGAAGGGCTTAAAGGGTGGTTATAGGGTTCAGAGTCTAGCCAAAGAATTAAGGACTGCTTCCCCCAGATTGAGGCGAGGCACTTTAATCCCTTGCCTTTTGCCTATGGGAACAGGTAGGCCCTACCTGGAAAAACTCCCCTGGTTAGTGAGACAATCACCATTTACCATCAATTTTACATATTTTCTTAAAAGAAAATGCAGGTGAGTAGAAAAGAATTTTGGAACTAAAGGGATAGGTGGGGGCATTGTGACTAATGAAAATGAGAAGGAGGTTAGGAATGAGAACTGTTCCCGTAGACCATGAGATTATTCTCATCCACCTTTTATCCTGGTCAAATGCTCCCAGGTCAGCCCCAAGGCCAGCCTGGCCTTCTCATTTCAAGTCCAGACCTTTGTAGTAAACAGATGTTTGCTCAGGTTTCTGGCTATCCTTTTACATACAGTATATAAAAAGGAAGGGAAATAGGGAATCAGGTTAAGCTGTTTTCTTTCAGTTACTCAGCATGTAGTCACAGGCAGTGGAATTCAGAACCCCTGATGTTAATCTTTGGCATTGCTCTTGAAGTAACTGGACTGATTTGAGTTAGAGGGGGGCGGGTCAGTGAAGGGCTCAGCGTGCTTTGTGGCCTGATGAAAGGGAAATCTCCATTATATGTTGTGCCTTCAAGTATGCTGCTGCCCTGCTGAAGACACCCCAAACCATAGTCAGAGACAGCTTCTCTCTGCACTGAGCTCTCTCAAATAAATAAATAAATAGTACCTTTTCCAACTGAGCATCAACTTCATTCTCACAAACAGCAGAATTTCTCAATCTCATCATTATCACTGTTATTGACATTTTGCTCTGAGTAGTTGTCTGTTATGGGTCTGTCCTGTCATTGGAGGATGTCTAGCAGCATCCCTGACCTCTGCCCAGCCGGTGGTACCCTTTCTACCCTGTATCCTTATACCTCCCATAGTGACAACCAAAAATGCCTCCAGATACTGCCAGATGTTCTCTGGGGAGTACAACATGCCCTAGTTGTGAACCACTGATTTAAACAAAGGGATTGTCTTATGTGGCTGTGTGAAGAGCAAGGCTGTAATAATAGGGTGGAGTGGGGAAGTGGTGGAAAAGGAGAAAGATGAAGTAAATACACAGATTCCAATATTCTCTTTTGATGAAAAATCGAAAATAAATTCAAAGGGAAAAAGTGATGCACTGCCATATACAATGCTGACTGGTCCTTGGCTTGCAATTTGTAGGTAAGATTTGTTTAACAAATTGCAGCTTGGCAGTCCTCTACCCAATATTCACCAGTAGAGCTGGATATATTTTCTTTTGATTGGTCTTTGAGGGTCTGGTTACCTCAGTGGCCAGGAGTAGGAATAATCCACAAAGATGTCAAGCAAAGATGGCTGGAGGAACACTGGGTGATGCTTCTGTCACCATGCTTTTCCTTTATTTATGTTGTTCTACATCTTTTATTTGAGATGCTAACCTTCTTTTTACTACTGAGGAGGAAAAGATAGGAGATGGGAGGATGCTAGATCTCCATGGGTGATGGGGAGGGAGGAGGAGGGATGTCATAAGTGAGATTTGTAGGTGAGATAAAATGTATATAAATCATGTATGGCAGGTATCTCAGCTGACACCATAGATGCCATTTGAATGGCTGAACACACTAGTGTTTTTGTACTGACTAAGTGACAATGAGTCCATTATATTGGAAGCAATTCTATGGCAAATCCTTTAGTAAAAATTAGCAATCACGGAATGATATCTCTTTTTGATAAATACCTCATAATGCAGGTTATGCTTTCCTGGAGCAAATTATGTAGACAATTTAAAATGACAGTGGAATTCAGTTTGTAATCAACAAAGTCCAGCTTTGTTTATTGAAAATATATTCACTCTTTCTTCTTCATGAATGTAATGGTGAAAACTAATTAAAGTTATTATAAATTGTACCCTTAATATATGCTCTCAAGTTCATCAGTCTGTAATCTAAACAGCCATATGACATTCATATTAAGAAATGTTAACAATTTTCTAAAATCCAGAGCTTCAAAAACTTATTCATTTATCCCCATAGTGTGTTTTAAAGAGTTTTTCAAGAGCATATACCCCCAAATTTATGATATTAGAAGAACAACTAAAAATGAGACTAAAAACATCACAAGTCAGATTTATTTAATAGTAATGTTGCATTGAGATGTAACATTTGGGCCACCATTTATAGCATGTCTACAAATTCTCCAAAAGCTTCTATCCTTAAGATTAATAGCATTATTGATCAGTTGCATCACTATTTCATAAACAATTCCTTTCTTTTTCTTCTTAAAAAAAAACAACAAAAACCTTTGAAGAGAACAACTATATCTAATGGAAGGCAAAATTGAGGACACCTGCAGTTCACTGGTATAGGCTTTTGCCTCCAGTTTCCATGGTAACCTGCGATCTGTATTCCAATCACACCTTTGAAAGGCTTGTTTTCTGTCTCCATCATGAAAATTTAGCCAGAAGCACTGAAGGTACCGAACATTAAATTTTAGCTTGTCTTTTTTTGTTTTTTTAAATTGGAATAGGGAACAAAGAAAGAAGATAACACCCATAGGCTTATCATGTAAATACAATGGGAACATACAGTCACTAATTTTAAGATGACCACCGAGATAAAAAAATACCTGAATGGTAAATGAATAACTAGTCAGCTTCTCTAACAAATTCTTATCTTGAGCAAAAAATTGTATATAAACATTTATTAAATTTGATAGGGTAAAAAAAAGGAGAATTCGGTTATAAAAGTCCACAATTTTACAAATCAATGGTTTTCAACTGGAGTGATTTTGCTTGCTGAGGGAATTTGGTAATATCTGGAGATATTTTGATGGTCAAAACTAGGGAGTGTGTGGGAATTATCCTGCCCCAAATAGGAGGCTGAGAACCCCTACAAGTAGCTTCATACATGATATACCAGCATAAGGGAAATAAATGTTCAAATGAATATAATGCTTTGGAAGCAATCATACTGGTGATTTGCTTCCCTGTTCCTGTGCTCTCCTAATTTCTTATTTCATTTAAATGCCAAATGAAGGTGGTGGGGAAGAAAGAAAGAAAAAAAAATCAAACAAAACTTTCTCTTATCATTCTTTGGTTAAAATGTGAACATTTCCAGTCTGCACGCATTGACCTAATTTGGTGCAGCCTCGTATAAACTGTGTGCATTCAGTCAGCATTTCCACTGCAAAACAGCTACCAACATATTGGGCTGACCTGCCATTTGGATTAACCTAAAGTTACAATAATTTTCTTGTTAAGGGAAAACATACTTATCTTTCCCCCATGGAATACAAATTCACTTACCTTTAGTGTGTGTCTATCTAAATGTGGTTACATTTTGTCACCCTGATTCTGGAGGTCAAGCTTGTCCCGAATTAGTGCCCAGGTCAAGAGGGCATCCGACCTGTAGGACAACCCGCAAGTTGATCATTTTCCTTGGCTGAAACGTAGGCGAACATGAAAATAATCCAAATACAGCCAGAGGGCGCCAAATTGCCGCAAATAAAAGTTCCAAAGGTTCAGACGGGTTTTGCGGGAAGGTAAAATTGACTTTTGTCTAGTGAAAGCTACCTTTGCAAACGATGTCACGTTAGGTTATAGTTTGCATTCCCCTCTTGTCAACAGGTAAACACAGTAAACATATCTCTCACCCCTGGAGACTGTTTTGTGTCCTGGTATTACAAAAAGTGGCCGCTCCCTAGGATACCTGGACACAACGCAGTTGGCCGCAGCTTTGACCGGCGCTTTCTAGCAGCGCTGTGCGGGCTGCCTCGGCCAGCCCTGTCTTCTGAGAACTAACTGATGGCTTCCATTAAAGCACAGAAATAAAAAATCGACGGCCCCTTTGCCGGGCGCTTCTCTTCCCTCCTTCCTCTCCCAAGTCTCAGGAGCATCCTCGGAGGGGCGACTCTGCCTGTCCGGCCAGCTGGACCTTGGCGGTCGCCCTTCCCCAAAACAGCAGCCTCGGGGGCTCAGCCTTGCGGGGAGCCTCCCGAGGAGCAAGTCTCCTTCGCAGAAGAGCAGCCCGGACGTGCCTGCGGTCGGGGCCACTCTAAACCCGCCGACATCTGTTCTGATGGGCTGAGGGGAGCCACCAGGTCTCCCCCCAACCTCACTGCCTGCCGGTATAGCGGAATCTCAGCGAGAAGCCTGAAGCCGGCGGGATTGGGGTGTTGCGAAGGGTAGCTTTTGGCGAGGGCGTCAGTCTCGCCCCTTAAGTCTGAGCGAGAGCCCAGCACTTCTTATTCGACCGTTCCAAATAAATGAGGGGGGTAGGGAGGAAGGGAAGGAGGGAGGAGGAGGGGGGGGGGGCGAGCCCCCACAAACAGCCCCTGCGCGGAGGGGGAAGGGAGGGCAAGGGAATGGAGGGGAGCAGAGGGAGGGGGTTTATGAAAAATATGGTTAGAGGGCAATTGAGGGGAGGCATGAAGGGCACAGAGTTGGAGGGGAGGGGAGGAACCGGCATGAAGGGGAGCGGAGGCTGGGGGTGACTGCAGGTGGGGAGGGAGGTGGCGGTTCTCGAATAATCAGGAATTGAGGGGAGGCGGGCGGGGCACCGGGTTGTAGGGGAGGGAAGGGGAGCGCTGGGAGCGAAGGGAGGGACTGCAGGAAGGGAGGGAGGTGGGGGTGCTTGGATCGCGGGGAGTTGAGGGGAGGAGGGCTGACAGGGGCTGGAGGGGAGGAGAGGGGAGGGAGGGACTGCGGGAGGAGAGGGGGTGGGGGCACGGAGGTGGCGCGGAGTAGAGGGGAGGCGGGCGGGGCGCCGGGTTGGAGGGGCGGGGAGGGGAGAGAGGCGGGCGGGGTCCGCGAGCTGAGGGAGGCTGGGCGGGCGGACGCGGCGGGGGAGGGCGCTGGGCAGGAAGGGGAGGGGGAGCGCGAGCGCGAGAAATGCAGAGGCTGCAGCGGCGGCGGCGGCGGCAGTAGCGGCAGCGGCGACGGCGGCGGCGGCAGTGCTCCAACTCGCTCCTCGCTCCGGGCTCCGCCGTCGAGCCGGGAGAGAGCCTCCGCCAGCGGCCAGGCATCCGGCCGGACCACACCAGCGACCCGGGCCCTTTGGTGGTACCGCGCTCACCCAGGGGCGGCACAGGCACCCAGAGCAGGTAAGGAGGCACATCTGGTGGCCCCGCCGCCACAGTGGACTCAGGGGCCTCTGTCTCCCCACCGCGCCCCGCCCCACCCACGAAGCCCCTGGGTTCTTCCCCCTACAGCGGGCAGCCGGGATGCGGGTGGATTAGACAGCAGTAGGCGTGGAGTCCCTCCGTGAAGGTTCGGTCACACTTTGGGGATCTAGGGTGGTGGGGGGCCCTCAGGTGGAAGGCTTCGGCCACACGCGGGGTGGAGAGGACGAGGGGAGTGGCGAGGCTGATAAACGGAGTTTGGGAGGGAGGGGGCTAGCAGAAGGAAGCTGCTGGAGAAGGAGGAAATGCTGAATGCGAAACCCTTGAAGCGCTTGAGTCCCAAAGATTCTGTTGTGGGTTGAACCGAGCGTTTCTGTCATCGGAACCATTCCCAGCCGGGAGGACCGAAAGGGCAGGGCGTGAGGGGCGCAGCAGAGAAAGATGGAGGGTGGGGGTGGGGTGGGGCGGGAGTAAGGGGAGAAGGAAGAGGAGGAATTTGCTCTGATCGGAAGGAAGAGGGTGGGTTTTTGGTTTGGCAAATGGGTTTCCTTGACCCGTGGGACTCCTGAATCTTGGTTTGGGGTAACCAAGGAACACGAGGTTCACGCGACAGCGTGCATCCAGAAGCACATCCAGAGCCGATCAAAGCCCCAGTCTCGTACGTGGCTGAATTGCCTTCCCATCAACCTGTGGGTTACCTCGGAGCTTTTTATTTTTTGAGCCATTGGCCCAGAGAATGAGCCGCACGCCTCCACCGCCGCCCGGGCCTGCGGTGTGCGAGCTGGAGCCTGACAGCGCGCGGCCCTAATGGGGCTCAGCTTCACTGTGCGCTAAGGTTTGGGGTTTAGCAGTTTTTGCGTAAGGCGCAATCGCCGAAGTCTGACGTCCAGTTCCCGCTCCCCATCGCCAGAAAAATAAAAATTGCGGAACCCCTGGATCCGTTTGCACACACAATGCGTGGCTACAAACCGCATTCTTTTCATGAATATTCATCGAACGCTTGGCTGGGCTCCTTATCTGCTTCCCCAGAGACAGTTCCGCCTTGAAACGAACTCGGTGGACAGCCTTTGCCCGAGTAATTTTCACTCTGTTGAAATTAGCTTGGCGTACATGGGTGCATTTTTAGTGCCTTGTGCAGGGTTGACACACCTCTGTCTTCCCTACGACCTCTAGCACTTGCTTGGCCGGTTAAAACCAAACACTAGCACTGAGGTGGTCTTCTGCTATAGGGGTGTGGATCAGCCCCCTCCCGCCCCCACCCACCCCTCTGGGAATACAGCCGGGGCTAACAGATCTCGGGTACTGCGGGCAAAATGAATGAATCGGGACTGTAATTACCTATTCCTTTGTCTTGGCCTCGCGCATGCGCTGGAGAGCAGGGTGTGGAGGGCCTGGCAGCCCCATCTGATCTCCCCATCATCCACCCACCCACTCCCCTCCAAAGCCTAGGAACAAAGGCTTTTGCCCTAAATATTTCTTAAAGCCCTGGGACACAAATGACAGCCCCCCCCCTCCCCGTGTGTATGTTTCCTCTTTCCCAGGCTATCACTCATCGTTTGCTGTCTTACTGATTTCAACTGACCAAAAACAAGATTAGCCTTTATGGCGAGGGCAAATTGTGGATTAAATATATTTTAAACGTGCACTGCTATTTTACTTTCCAGAACTGTCCATTGTTCTTTTTCCTGTAACATATCCCTCTACCGGGATGGGTGGCTTTCTTAATTTGCATCAATTAACCATTCCTCTTGACAGAGCTTTGTTGCCGGTCATTTGACTAAAGGACATTGGTCTCAAACCAGCAGTGGGTGTTGCCCCTAGTAACACCACCTGGGAAAAATTAAGACATCTTGGCATTTATACGAACAAGATGGCCTACAAAAACCGGAGCGAGAAAATGGTTACCTTGTCAGGATCCTAACCCTTCTGGTTTCTCTTGATTCCCACGCTACTGTTTCATTAAGAGTTCCAAAATGCAAACCCCATGGAGATGGCTACTAGGATTGCCGGGGTGAATATGGTGAAGTTCTAAGTTCATGATGCTTCTTTTAAAAAAATTTATTTCTACAAAATCTAACCAGAAGCCGTGGTATATACATTGATGGCTGATTTTCTTTCAAATGATGTATTTTCCAGGTTATAACCCTTCAGAATTCTTTTTGGGTTTGTTTTTACCTTCCTAAAGGTGACTTACTATATATATCAAATAGGAGTTAAGCACTACATTTTCTGCAATGTAGTAGGTTATGTGTAAAAAAAAAAAAAAAAAAATCATGCTGAAGCATTCTCAGTATATACTGGTGCAGTAACACGTGGCGTGAGAGGGAAGTCATCTCTTTTGTTCCTTTTAATAAAAACTTGATATTAGCCATGTTTAATATTACCAGAGCCTGTAATTGCTATGGTGGCAGCCTGGCTGTATTCTAGGTAGCATGGATCATTCCTTCTGTGCTGCTTAGTATTGAATGGGTTATTGTGGCTTAGAGGGCTATAGATGCTTTTTCTTTCTTTCTTCTTCTTCTTCTTCTTTTTTTTTTTTTTCCTTTTCTATTAGGTAGAATTTAGCAGGGTTGGAATACAGACTAATTTTGTGTTGAAATACAGACTAAATATACAAGCTGACATATGCCAGTATACCCTGAATTCAGGGAGTTTTGAGTTTTTAAACAAGATAATTTAAAAATCAAATATTAGCAATTATCAGTTATTTTATTTCTACAATTTTATTTATTTATTTATTTATTTTTACCAAGCTTTAGCAGGTAGAGGAAGGGAACTAGTTGAGTCTTTTGATAAAATGCACCAACAGTGACTGCAACAGTGGCCTTATATCTCTAACTGGTACTTAGGCCACCATTGTGGTATAGAGAAGGGATCCTTTTTTTCCCCTCCCCACCCACATCACCCTAATTTAAATGTTCAGAGCCCTAGGCATTTAGGTTCCCTATCCTTGGAGGCCTCTTAATAATTCTCGGGAATTACCTGAAAAAACCACATGATGGTTTAAGATCTCTTTAGGTTTTTTTCTCCCCCAATTTCACACCAGAACAATTTCACGTCATTTTCTTTCCATGGTTAAAATAACTGGAATATGATACCAGAGAAGAACTTGCCTTTGCAGGAGATTTGATCACTGTAAAATGGATGCCTGTGTTGTTTGTGATAGTTTTGTAAAAATATTGCAACATCTAGAACCATTTTAAAAGCTATTAAAGCACCATGTATATACACACATGTGTATGCATAGTGTGTATGTACATACAGGCATGGATATCTATTTATATTTATGTACAGATTGTAAAAATCTTATTAATGATATGTGCTAAACTAGTTGGTATAGAACATTATTTTCTAGTGGTTTTACATTGGTCTTTGGAAAATAATCAGTTTCTGTCTTTCTAAGTATATGCTTAGAAAAGGCTCACTAGTCTACTAATATGCTCATCTTCAATTATTCCCAATGTATTCCTAAAATAAATGGCTGCCTGGAGCATCTGAAGCTAAGATGTTCATTTAGGGGCTTCAAAACCCATTAAACACTAATGAACTTTCGAAGCTGGAGTACACAATGCTTACTAAATAAAGGACTTATACATTTTTTTTCTGTTTAATTTTTGTGATCTCTTGTAAAATTTCATTTTTCAAAATATGTCCCCAAAAGACCTGTTAAAAAGTAAAACAAGTGCCTCTGGTATTTGATTCTGTTGAAAGAGACATTTTGATTCGTTCAGGCCTTTCTCACTCAACTCATCTTGACCTATTCGTTTCACACCTTCTTGGTCTTCCTGATGATTGTGTGAACTGAAATCCAGGTAGCTATTGAGGGCAAACCATATGTGGATGCATTGGATGGTCCCTGGGACAGATGCAGAATCCTTATCATCTTTTCAAGTTTTCTCAAGTCAGTCCTTTTCATTTTTTTTCTGTCTCTTAAGTCTTTAGATAATGTGATGAATGTGAACTTTACGGCTTGAAATTACCATGAAGTTGCAAATAGAAGTTTTTGAAGGATAAAATACTGTCTGGGCATCTGAAAGGTTCTCAGATACCCTAACTTCTGTCCTCTAGTGGAGACATATTTGAAATTCTGTAAGGTGTTGTATGGAGATTTGCCCAGGGGTAGATTGTGTGGTGTCAGGATGGCCACCCTCCTTGAATTTCCCAGGGCTGCTATGTAACTCAAGAGGTGGCATTTAAGTTCTTTTGAGAAAAATATAGGTAGTTTTAAAACCACAGCAGTTCCCAGCCTGCCAGAAGAAGGATTTTGTTACATGCCATTCCCCGCATAGCTATTCAGACAGATAGGTGGCTGTCATGTGATTAAAAATTGTCTGTGAACCTTCTCAAGAGTAAAAACAATCATACAGAATCAAATTCTCAACAGGATAGAGTTAAATTTTAATTCTGAGGAGACAACAAGCCTAAGTAGGATTACAACAGCATTCTCCTTTTCCCGCTGGAAGTTATCAGGAGAATGGAGTGGGAGGCCAAGAGAGGCAAAGGGTCCATTTTCCCTCTACTGCAAACTAGGATTTAAATGCAAATCCAGGGATAGCAGAAGCCAAAGCCAGAGGTTGTGATTGAGCAGATTGGAAGTCTAGGAATACATTCCTGAAAGCTTTGGAGACTTAGAAATAGAAACCATCTGTAAGCACAACAGGGGCCCAGGGCATAAGGAAATACTTCAAGATAATATAGGAAAATGGTGCTCAGTGGGGAAGGCAAAGTCCTTACACAACATTTTTTTCCTTATCACTTGAATATTTTATGAACTTTTACTGCTTTTGAAAATTTATTTTGGATATGGTAAGAAGAACTGGGCTTCAAAGGCTTGTTTTTTGAATTTCTCTTTGAAATAAATATTTCAACAATTGTGCTTTGTGTAGGGAGTATGACTTTTAGATACTGTGACTTATAGGGTTTGGTGTGGTTGGGCCAAATTCACCCTGATTAGTCCTCTCTTTCAGCCATTTACTAGCTAT